CGAAGAGCCCAGCGCGATCACCAGTGCTCTTCGTACCAAAGAAGGATGGAGGTCTCAGACTCTGTGTGGACTATCGAGGCCTCAACGAGATCACTGTCAAGAACAGGGCACCATTGCCTCTCATCGAGGAGCAGCTGTTCTTGCTCAGGAAAGCAAGGATCTATACCAAGCTCGACCTCAGAGCAGCATACAATCTCATCCGGATTGCTAAAGGAGATGAATGGAAGACAGCATTTGGCACCCAGTTGGGACTCTATGAGTACCTAGTGATGCCATTCGGCCTAGCCAATGCTCCCGCTCATTTCCAGTCATTCATCAATGACATCTTCCGGGACATCATTGGAGTATATGTAGTGGTATACCTAGATGACTTCCTGATCTTCAGTGACACTGAAGAGTCACATGTGAAGCATGTTACTGAGGTCCTCACTCGCTTAAGGAGCAACCGGCTCTTTGCTAAGCTGTCCAAGTGCGAGTTCCACATCAAGACGGTGGAGTTCCTGGGTTACATCATCAAGCCAACAGGTATCGAGATGGACCCAGAAAAGGTACGAACGGTCAAGGAATGGCCGATGCCGGCGTCTATCCATGACATCCAACGGTTCCTGGGTTTTGCCAACTTCTACAGGAGATTCATAGCTCACTTCGCTCGGATAGCCAAGCCATTGACATCACTGGTGAAGCCGACGGAACGCTTCAAGAAGTTTGAGTTGCCGGAGGAGGCCCAACAAGCCTTCCATCAGCTCATTCAGGCCTTCACATCAGCAGGAGTGCTCCAGCACTTCGACTACCACCTCCCAACAAGGTTGGAAACCGATGCAAGTGACTTTGCTATAGCCGGAGTGCTCAAGCAGGAACATGAGGAACGCTGGCATCCAGTGGCGTTCTACTCCAGGAAGATGTCTTCGGCCGAGAGGAACTATGAGATCCATGACAAGGAGCTCCTAGCTGTGGTCGCCTGCCTCACTCAATGGCGACACATGCTAGCTGGACTACCTAGTCAGCTAGTCATCCTCACGGACCATGAAGCCCTCAAGTACTTCAAGTCACAGCGACGCATCACTGGCAGACAGGCTCGATGGGCAGTGCTGCTAGCAGACTTCGACTTCATACTGCAGTACCGACCAGGAGACAAGGGAGGTGAACCTGATGCTCTCACCAGACGAGCGGACATGCAACCAGCCGGTGAGGAGCAGGAACATAACGTGAGGCAACTACTGCCTCCTCGGGTGTTCACGGAAACCGTGGACCATGACTCGACCCTAGTGGCTCCCATGCTCTCGATGGAGTCCATAGCATCAAAAGGGCTCAAAGACCTGGTCCAGATCTTCCAGCCCTTAGACCAAGAGCTACAGGAGATACACTCGAAGAAGCCCTTCGAGGTCAAGGACGACCTATGGTACAGTGGAGGAAGGTTGGTTATCCCCAAGGTAACCATGCCAGGAAGGACCAATAACCGACGCTCAAGAAGTGCCAAGGAGGTAGATGGACAGTCTCTATCTGTAGAGCACCTGCGATTCATGGTGATGACTCAATGTCATGATGGCATCACTGCAGGGCACGTAGGAAGAGATGCCACCATCAAAGCAGCCCAACGACACTACTGGTGGCCAAGCATGACAGCTTGGATTGCTGACTACGTAGCTAGCTGTCCAGTATGTGCTAGGTACAAAGCTCCTCGTCATCGTCCATATGGCTTGCTACAGCCACTTGCCACACCAGACAGGCCATGGGGCTCGATATCCCTCGACTTCATTGAAGGACTACCACCTTCAAGGAACTATGACTCCATCCTCGTCATTGTCGATAGGCTGACCAAGTTTGCCATCCTGGCCCCGACCTATAAGACAGTCACTGCAAAGCAGACTGCAGTACTGCTGTATGGACACATGGTTAGACTCTTCGGCTACCCAGATCACATGGTCTCGGACCGAGGCCGACAGTTCATATCAGGAGCATGGAAGGCCTTTGCAGAACAGATGGGTGTGAAACACTCGCTTAGCACGGCCTATCATCCTCAAACCGACGGACAGACAGAGAGAGTCAATCAGGTCGTGGAGCAGTACCTAAGGATGTACTGCAACTATGAGCAGAATGACTGGGCCGACCTGCTGGACACTGCAGCCTTTGTATACAACAACACGGTCCACAACAGCATTGGTGTCTCACCGTTCTTTGCATGCTACGGATGGAACCCCAAGGCCCACCCAGATATCCCTCAACGACTAGGAGTCAATGACCCAGGTCGCTTCGAGTATCTCATGGATGGGAAGGAGCGTTGCAAATACCTTCAGGAGCAGATTAGGGAGGCACAGCGCCGAACAGTAGACCAGTACAATAGGAAGCACAAGGACATCGAGTTCAAGGTGGGTGATATGGTATACATCAACCGCCGGAACTGGAAGACACGGCGACCCACCCTGAAGCTGGACACCCGGTTTGCAGGACCATACCCAGTCCAGGAACGGATAGGACGCCGAGCTTATCGAATCACATTGCCAGCAAACCTTAGGGTTCATGATGTGTTCCATGTCTCTATGCTCGAGCCAGCAAGAACAAGCTCACTCGCTCAACGGGCAGAACAGCCCACCATACCATCACTCCCAGATGAGGACCTCGACTTCGAAGTCGAAGCTCTCATCGACAAGCGTTCACACCATGGGGTTATAGAGTACAAGGTGCTCTGGAGAGGGTACTCAGAAGAAGCTGCTTCATGGGAACCGGTCTCGAACCTCAACTGCCCCGACCTCATCCAGGAGTATGAGGTGTCGGAGGGGGGACGAATAAACAGAAGAAGGAGTAGAGAGAAGGAGGAGGAGTAAGGTGGTGATGTCGTCAAGAGCAAACGACATCAAGAAGATGAGTAGAAGAAGGAGTAGCGAGCAAGAGGAGTAGGAGGAGAAGAGTCAGCATGAACCAAACCAGAGCATGCCTCGACGGAGCTCGGCTCTTAAGAGGGGGGTAGTGTCATGGGCCTGAATGCTCGGGAAGCAGGAGGGCACCAGTAGAGAGCATGGCCGTAGTGCAGTCTCCATGGAGACCATGGACTCCTACGGATTCACATGCAAAGGAGGAGCGGGCCCATATGCGAGGAGGGCCCGCCAAGAAGAGGACCAAGCGCAAGGAGCAGGCGCCGCCAAGAGGAGGACCAAGCTCAAGGAGCATGCAGATGGTTACCACTCAGGGGCTCGAGAGATAAGAGCCAAAGGAACCATCACCGGTCAAAGGAGGAGGAGCAGTGTATAGGAGACCGGCAAGTAGGTCCGAGGAGGAGGAGCAGTGTCGAAGAAGTCGACACCGCTCCGGAGGCACAGGGGTGCCAAGCAAGGAGGAGGAGCAGTGTCGAAGGAGTCGACACAGCTCAGGAGGACAGGAGTGGTGCTAGAGGGCCCCCCTGTACAGTACTCGACGAAGAGGGTACTCTCTGGAGAGAGAGAGCAGGAGCAGTGTCGCTGGCGACGCTGTGAAGAGGTATATAACCATGCCTTCTCGTCATCAGAGGTCGAGTGGAGCCTCATCCACTCTACTCACCATATTAACTAGTTATCACTTTCAGCATAAGTATACATTAGTTACAGTCAGCATAGCAGCAATCTATCAAGGTTGCTCCTCATCGTAGTGTGTGTGTTGTATCACCACTACCTGACGTCCGAAGGCGCCCATAGCAGGTTAGCGGTCCGGATATAGATAGAACCGAAGGCAGTAGTCCACTGCGGTCCGGGGATCACTCCAAGCATTAGTCAGCACACTGGACACTCGTGTTGACGCCACCAACCTCACCAACAACACCATCATCCTCATCATCATCGACATACACCAACCTCATCACCAACACCATCAACCTTATCACCATCAGCACTCACACCAGACCTTGGTGTCATCGCAACCTACGCATTGATATTGATCGTGCCGAGCCACCTCTGAACGGAGTGTCCACAGAGGTCAGCCGAAACCTACCGCGCAACTTGATAGTCGCCGAGGAACTAGCTCTTCGAGACCGAGACCGAGACAATAGCTGTCGCACAGTTGGATAGTCACCGAGTGTCTCGACAGACCGACCTGGGTTTCAGGCGCGCGACCCCTGACAGTCTCCATGGAGACTGCACTACGGCCATGCTCTCTACTGGTGCCCTCCTGCTTCCCGAGCATTCCGGGCCATGACAGTCAGCACTTCAGCGCTGCACCACCCTATCGGCGGTGGAAGCAGAATTCGTAGCTGCGACAGAAGCCGCACGAGAGATCCTGTTCTTCAAACACCTCTTCAAGACCATCGGTATTGATGTCGGTATCCCCACAATCTTTTCAGACAACACTGGCACTATCCAGGTTAGCAAGGACCCCGCGCAACACTGGAAGTTAAAGCACATTGATACCAAGTACCATTTCATCAGAGACAACGTGCAAGACAGAAAGGTAAAGATCAAGTACATCAACACTGCAGATAACTTAGCAGACCTCTTTACCAAACCGGTGGGAAAAACCACGTTACAGCGCGCGCGACAGGGATTGGGACTAAAGACCCAGCATGATGCAGTGGATCGGCAGTCTCCTGCCTTACCACTGAGGGAGGCAGTTGAGGGAAACGAAATGAAGCAGGGACCCTGGCCGGAGTAGGGATCCCGGCCGGGATAACACTCCCGCTTCTGCCCGCACACGCGCGTGTGTTACAAAGACTTTGTAGCGTCCAGATTCGAACTTGTATTTAGACGATCATCATCTACCGTAGAAAATCAGATTCCTCAACTGCCTGCTATGGTCGACTTTCCTGTAGATCGGCCTGACCCCTGATACCTATGCTCCTACCATATGAACCAACAGCCTTCTTGCTACCTGTGCATTCAGGCCCATGACAGGGGGTTCAAATTCCCTCCAAAAACGCGCTTTTCAAAAAACCTGCGTTTTGAAAAACGCAAAAACTTCGATACCCCCTTGTAGCTCAGAAAAAGTCTGTGAAAAAACTTGTGTCAAAAAGTGGAAAAAAATAAAAGAGATCGAGAATTTGGAGCGGTAGGGGATTGAACCCTAGACCTTCTCAACACTTGTGAGGTATTCGCAGGAATGTTATTGCAAATGAGACGCTCTACCACTGAGCTACCGTCCCTTCTATGGTAGATGGTGGCGAGCCCAACTCCCAGACTCTCGACGTTGTTGACGACGACGACGAAAGGATAGTGGTCGCTGCCCGGCCGAGAAGACTGCGGTAGTCACTGGGGGTCTCTCGGAGTATAGCTGGTACCCTACATAGGGTGATCAGCACTAATCTTGTCCAGATTGGACGAGGATGACAACAACGACATCGACAAACAACTTGGTTGGCGACAACAACATCAACGACCAACTTGATACGACCACCAACCCTTGCTATCCGACCTGGAAGATTGTCATAGTCACTAAAGACCCTCGGAGCATAGCTGATAAACTACAAAGGATGACCAACACTAATTTCACCCAGATGGAACGAGGGTGACAACAACGACATCAACATCGACAACCAACTTGGATCGCAACAACGACATCAACATCCAACCTGATACATCCGCCAATCCCACTCATCTATAGCTGACACCCATGTCCAATAACATACAAACGACGAAGAAGGCGGACATACTACCAGCGTCAATGAACGATACAGCTCCATACACCCCCCAATCAGGTAACTTGAGACAACCCCCCCCCTACTTACCTGGATCAAGAAACTACAGCTGTATGACAGCTAGGACCGTATCGACGTCTCCAACAGCAATCTTTCGACCGCTGCTCTTGTTGTCTGACAAGATCATCGTATGGACAGCTCTATAGGATACCAAGGTCATACACCAAGATCCATGGACAAGACAACATCGACCCCCTTTTGGCAGGGGCTACACAAAAAGGGGGAAATTGATTGTCAGACCCCCCCAAGTATCCCTCGCTCCCGGACCCCTTCATGGCTATCCTCTTCTTTTCACGGCATTCATCTCTCTCTTCACTGACGAGATACCCCCTACACCAAAGCCCAACCTCTTCCTGACCTAGCATACGGTCCTCATTGGCTTAAATGGCTAACACCGCCATCAGGGCCAATCTGCCCCTCTACGGATGCAAACTTCTAACCGCGCTCCCTCTTCTACCAACGCCATCCACCTCCGTTCTGCACCACCACCACTCTTCTCACCATCATCCACCCCGCCAATCACCAACGACTTGATCCTCACCTGTCTTTACCTCATGAATCCATCCACTCCCGCCACCACTGAGCCTGTTCCGGTCCCACCCGAGGAGGACTTCCTCGGCCTGACCCGAAAAGAAGAATGGCTTCCCTTCGCTGACAGGATTCGTTTCCCAGGACAAAGCAGCGGCTCAGAGACTACGAGTGAACCGAAACCCATCCTTCCTTTCACCGAACTACCCTCTTTCGAGATCAACCGACACAACTACGACTCTCAGATCAACCCAGGTGTGGTTCGCCATGGGGTGCCACCCTCCATCAAGCTCACCACCACAATTGCCCGCGCCGATGCTGCCTGCCGTATCATCTTTCAATTGCAGAAACTCTACCCAGGCTTTGGTCCGGCAGCTGACATACACTTCTTCAAGAAAAACAAACAGACCCTCATGGATCTGATGTGGAAGGATCCGAAGAATCGCAGCTTCAACCCAACCACACCTCTCTCACTTCGAGATACCCAATTGGTATTCATCGGCATGGCGGCCTCTCTCAAGCCCAACTGGATCACCATGAAGATCATTGACCTTGACGCCAACATCTACTCGGAGATCAATTTATTAACCGAAAACCTGGTCATGCTTCTCCATCCTCACCGGATCCTTGATTTCTGGACTACTCGTTTTGCGACCAACACAGAGGTTGATGGATGTACTGCGCTCCCGTGGGCATGCGAACTATACCTCTTAGTTGAACTCTCGTTGAAGGCTGAGGACAACAATGGTTTCACTCACCCGGCCGACATTGCCAACAATCTACCCGGTTGGGTAGACTATGGCACACAATCATACAAACTTCTGTACCGTGATCGCTTTGACCATTGAGTACACTGCAAGAACAACGTCCGCCATCGTCACAACTATAGGGACTGCGAGGCCCGCCTTTGCAGCTTCTGTAAAGACCCAGGCCACATCCGACGCAATTGCAAGTTGGCCAAACAACACGACAAGACTGAAGCAGACCGCCAGCGCAAACAAATTGATGCAGGTTTCCAGTCTCTGGCAACCGAAGCGCACAAACGGCCCAAGCGCACTTTGGAAGAAGCTGAGGGCATGCACCTTGGTTAGACTCACCAAAACCGCACTTTGCCACGCATTCCTAACCCCCTTTTTCTTCTTGTTCCATCCGCCGCGACGACTGACTACACACAACGTTCCTTCCTTCTACCACCACACACCAGACCCTTCTCTTGCCATTCCCCCCTCCTCTCCCACACAATGAAAGGACCAGCCCTTCCCCCCTTTGCTTTTTCACCTGTCGTCATCCATTTGCCCTCCCCTCTTCCCTTCTCCACGCTACCACCACACCTCACCTTGTCACCGACCACTACCCGCTCAACAGTATTCAACATATGACCGACCTCTGCATCCTCAGCTGGAACTGTCGTGGCATTGACTCAACACCGGCAGCCAAGACCTTGGACTGGAATTCGCTCACCCACAATGTCGACCTGGTCTTACTACAAGAAACGGCCTTCAGCTCCTCCAGAGGACGGTATCGCACCTTTGACCCTCACACCCTTTTCCAGGAATTGGCACCGACGGCCATTGGCGCAAGAGTACATGCAGCATATGCTACGCCCTTCTGCACGATCATCATCCTCAACAGTCAGATCAATCTCCTCGCTCCTCAACACCGCGCCAACCAACAAATAGTTCATGCCTGCATTACGTTCCGGGAACAATCCATTGCGATTGCTTCTATCTACGCCCCTGCACCACATACCGAGCGACAACTTTTCTTCGAAACCTTCCCCTCTCAAGTCATGGACAACAACACTCCAACCATCTTAGGCGGTGATTGGAACAATGCTCCATCTACTCTCGACTTCCTCAACATCCGCGACAACCGTTCCCATCTGTGGAGATACATCGAACACAAGATCAGCTCTGCGGGCTTCTTTGACCCTCTCCGAGTACTGCAAACAGATGACCACAACTATACACGTATCCAGATGAACAGAGATGGCGGCGTCTCTTCGGCCTCTCGTATCGACTTCTTTCTGGTGAACACATCCATCCTCCATCGATGTCATTCAATGGAAACCCTTCCCAGCCATTCTTCTGACCACTCTGCCATCTTCCTGAGCATTGCGAACTCCGCCAATCTTGCACCAGCCCAAGAGGAAGGTTTCATTTCTCGCTGGAAGCTCCCTCAACCTATGGCTCGTTATCGACCATTCTCGCAACAGGCGCACACCTTCATTGAGCAAACCTACTCCCAAGTACTCCATCCACCACGCGGGATCCAGATCGCCGAAGCATACACCATATGGATTGAACGATGCAGAAACTTTGCCAAGATCACTGGTTACCAACTTCGCTTACCATTTCTACAAGCACATCACGACCTACAGACCCTACAAAGACGCATTGGCTCTTGGGATGTTAGTGATGCTGCTAGAATTTCGGACTATCTTCAGCTACGCAAACGGGCAGATATTCTCGAACGGACACTAAGCCTGACCGGTCAATTGGTCAGGACACCAAAAGTACATCCTAACGCTCATGTGTCTGATACAACCCCCCTCCCCAGCTGACACTTACGACTTCTTTAGTAACCTGTTTTGATCACGTCCAATTCCTCCAAATGTCGTACTCCAACGTCACACACTGCTTGCCCTCTCCACTTCCAGACTCTCCGACGCCACACACGCCGCATTGACACCCTCTTTCTCAGTTACAGAGTTCAATGCAGCTTTGGCCAAGGCTAAACTCTCTCACTCCACGGCCGGTATTAGCGGTCTACCTCACGTTTTCTTTACTTGCAACTCGAACAGGGTGGCAGAAGTCATGTGCTGCTTAGCAAACTCTATCCGATCAGGAAGGCCTCTTCCTGCTTTCTACCCCTTGGCTGCCAGTACTCTCCTCTTTAAGAAGGGTTCCACATCCAACCCGGCACACTATCGGCCTCTCTCCATCCTGGATTCCGACATATGCATCATCGACACCGTCCTACAGCACAGATTACTCCCTGCAGTCGATGAACTGACACCCGAGTCACAAACTGGGTTCGTTGCGGGTCGGTCTATCTTCAGTTCTGCTCTCTGTTTACAAGTGACCATCTCACTTGTCAATCTTGATGCCTCATCCTCAGGGTCACCAACCGCCTCGGTATTAGTGATCGACCAAGACCAACAAAAGGCCTTTGACAAAGTGGACCGCGAATGGTTGTGGACCGTGCTTCGCTCTAAGAATTTTCCCACTTCGCTCATTCGATACATCCGCATCTTCTACAATCACCCTCATGTCTCTTACAACACCGGCTCCTCATCCACTCCCCCTATCCCACTTCAACGGGGCGTCTTGCAGGGCATGCCCTCCTCCCCACTTCTCTACCTGTTGGCCTACCAGCCCTTCCTCGATGCCATTGCACATGACCGCATTGGCCTCTCGGTCCACAGCATCATCGACCCCGACATCCACCACACAACCACTCAAGACTATCACAATTTCATCTCCTCCACCTCCTATGCCGACAATACAGTCATTTTTGTGGCGAACGACCAACAGCTCCATCAGTATATGAATCGCCGCCAGCAATTTGACGACGCCACAGGTGCCAGTCTCAACCCCTCAACCTCCTATCGCCTCATCCACCATGTTACAAATCACCCTTTGCCGACCACATGGTCCGATGCTGTCGCACAACGCCAGATACGACTAAACCTAGAGGACGAGTGGTCGTTCTTGGGTGCACGCTTCCACCGCTTTGATCTTTATCCTTCCCAACAATTCGACATCCTCATGGATCGGTTCCACGCTCGACTACGCACCATCTTTAGAGGTCGAATCGACATCATCCGACGCAACCACCTTCTCAACACCCACGCTTTATCTCTCCTTTGGCACTCCCTCACAATCGGTATTCCCCCCGCCACCTTCTTTTCCACGATA